TTTCAACTTCTCTTCTTCTCTTCTTCTCCTTCTCTCTTCCTTCTCTCTTCAAGAAACTACTTTTCTTTTATATTTTTTAATTCAGCAGATTTCTACTCATTGTACTCAGATCCCATTAGGATGGGTGACTCTCTTAGAGCTGAATTGTATGCTTTATTGGAAGGCTTAAGGAAGGCAAAGGAGCTGAATATTCAAAAGTTGATTATTGAAGGAGACTCATAGCTATTATTAAATTGGTTAAGGATAGTGGATTTTGGATTTATGCTAATGAGAGAAGGGAAGTTAAGTGGTTAACAAGAGGTTTGGAAACTCAGTTTCATTGGGTGAAGAGAATTGCAAACGCCTTTGTAGATAACTTGACAAAACAAGGGGTGGGAAGGGGACACATGTCTTGGGCTATCTTGTAATTTCTTTTCGGGTTCTCCAGGGTGGGTTAAGCCATTTTTTCTCCCCCTGGAGTGTTGTATGTATTCTTGTTTTTATTAATAATATAAATTCCTATTATTGATAAAAAAAAGTAAAGCATAATATGATAGTTATTTTATTTATAAATAAAGTATATAATTAACTATAACCTAATTAATCTTAACTATTTGATAATATAACATGAATTATCAAAAGTTTTTAGTAAAATTAAAATTAAACAAAATTGTTCAATGAGAACATTATTAATAAAAAAGAATAGCAGAAGCCAGAAAGTGCATATGAGATGAAAAGCAAGCAACTAGGAATCAGCAAGTTTCTATATTTTATTAAAAAAAGGACATTACCCAATTTTAGTCCCAGCTATCTGGGGTCTTGGGAGGGGTAGACTAGGTATGGTCCTAATCTTTGGCAATTGTTTTACAAAAAGTGGCCATGCCCTCAGAGTCAAACCTGCATTCTTATGCCTGCCAGCCCGAGATTTTACCATTATACCAAGTAACAGCCCCCAGTTTCTATATTTTATAGATTATATATATGGATACTATAATAACGGCAATGTTTTAAAATGCAGAGGTATGACACGAGGCGTTCCACTACCTAGAGGCATGAGGCGTAGGTCAGAATGTAAGAGGCGTAATCCTCCTTAAGAGGAGGGGAATAAGGAGGAAGGAGAAAGGGGAGGAGGAAGAAGAGGAAGGGAGGATCTCATTTTGCTTTATTTTTAATAAAAATCTTTTATATTAAGAAGAATGAAGATGCATAGCACTAGTTGAAATACATTCTTATAGACTTATAGGTTAAAGATCATATAAAAGGGATTCCTCGCATCAAAGAATGGTTATAATGACAACAGCATCACCAAAAAAAATAAAAAATAAAAAAAACATTTGCTGACTATGAAAATACTAAAACAACTTCTGCTTTCTAAGGAAGATGAAAACAAACATTTTGAAGTAATTATAGAAGAAAGTTTCCTTAAGGTTTATTTGCATACGAGGAAAAAGTTCGAGTACAGAAACACCATACCACAATGCGCAAAGCATGAGGATCATCATCACGGTCAATGAGTGCCAGAAGCAAAATATCCAAAGGAATCAACTCATGGGTAAAAATAAGAAATGAAAGATTTGTTGTTGTTTTCAAGAGAAGGTCCTGAACAAGAACAAGTGAATGGACAACAATAATTTTACAAAAGTAAACATGAGAAAGGAAAAGTTTAACAAAATAGTGTTATAAATTTCACCAAAACCCCAGCACAAAGCATAGACCTGTAAAAGATGTCCAATCTGCAGTTCCTTGTGAATATGGTGAAGAAGAACATCTACCAATGTGTAAATATTTGCTGTCACTTCCTCTGGTGAAAATTCTCTGAGGACACGGCCCTATTTTCATCCACAGAATATCATTCAAAAGCAAATGAAGGGTAATCAACAATTTGTTTACCGTGAAATATTGAAACTACGAGGCTAAGATGGTGTTTGGTACCATTGGAGTTCTAGCCTGTGGCATTTAAGGTAGAAGTGGAGATGACATGCCTGGCATTCAGGCACAAAACCTGGAACATGACATTACTGAGGCAATTCAAATATATAGGAGCCACTAGACAACACATAGGACAAGAGAAGCAAGAATATCTTCTGGGAATCAAGAAATGTCATTTGGGCTTCTCCTCAGTCACCCACTGTGCATGAAAATCAATGTAGGCATACTATTCCTGTCTCAAGTTGAAACAGCTCTACAAAATACAACTTTTGAACTAAAGTTGAATTATTTATGTGGATCTTACATGGAGAAGAAATGGGAACACAACACTATGGTACCAAACACCCTCCAAATTATCAAGAAAAAAAGGCTATGGACTCCTACCAGATTTGCACTATTAATGTTTTCAGGATGTCCAAACATAAGAATCCAAGCACCAGCACATAGATACTGTCGATGCTGAGGAAAACTATGATTGACATAAGTCATAAGATAAGAATCTGCTGCTGATGGTGAAAGAAGCTGTTTACACTGGTTGAGAACAGTTTGTTCTGCCTGCAAGAATATCAAGTGCATAATATTTTTAAGTAGTAACTCTAGAAATAGATTTAGAAAATAAACAAGTACTCAAAAGTAATATACTTGGTATCAGCACAGATCTGAAGGTCTGTAAGTTGTGAAACACTTTTCGAGGTCTTGCTGACATCACTGACCATACAGATGACATCTGTAGAAGTGCGGTCAACAACCACCCCTGCAGTAAAAAATAGATCCTGGTACAGGATGAACTTGGGGTGATTTTCATCCATGTTTCAAGACTATTTGATGATGTTTGACATTATTTATAGATTTTATGGTGAAAAAAACAAGAAAATTACATATTTGGTTTTTCTGATTACTGTGATCAGATGGTTCTGAATATGTGGTTTGGACTGCTTCTATTTGATTCATATCATAATTGTTGACACAAGAAAAGTGGTCTCAGATTTTTCTAATGTCAGAAGAATTTTTGGTGGAATATTTTCTCCATATGTATTGTATTCTCCACTCAGACTCTGTGGAAAAATTGTTAGACAGTGTATGCCCTTAGCTCCAATCAGATTGATGTACATACGCATTTATTGTAAATGAATAAAAGTACATAATTGATTCATGTTATAATTGGTGTGTTTCTGTGTAATTACCCTTAAACTAGACATTTATGAGACTCGTGTTAGTTTAGAATATTCTCAGCCGCTGGATAGACTTGGGGAAGTTTATCCTACCAAGGCTGACACTGATATATTGCCAAGAATGTTGGGGCAACCTGTCTCAGCTGCCAGGGTTGGACCAAAAGCACATGCAGTGTGTGTTTGTTCGAAGCGCTGAACCCAGACCAATTTCCAGTTATGCCCTAGACCTTGGAGATTGGTGGGCAAAACTAAGAATTTACACATAACCCCTAGGCTCGATTATGGTAGCACTAGGTGTCGGATTAGACTGTCTTTGATATGTCAATCAGTGAGATCTTTTGGGGGTCAAAATCTGGGTATGTTGGGGCAGTCTGAGAATTCACTCGAGTGGATCATAGTGACAGGATCAGCCCCTTTGTTGGACAAAGTGAATGATCGGGACTGCACTCTCTCTGATGGAAACCAAAACTGACAGTAGTCGATTTTAAACTTGTTTGAGATTTGTTTTGCAAAATATATTTATATGATAATATATATTATGTTTTAAGAAAAAAGGTTTGCAAAAGGTTTTAATTCCCGAGACCCATCCGAGCAGAGAGTGCAACACTGCACCTTGCAGCCAGGGGAGAGGTCCTTCCTTGTCGGGCAGTGTTTGATCATTATGGGCTGAGAGGTTAAGTGTAAGAGACCATTTAGGACTGTTTTACCTTATGGGCTATATCTCACTTAAGTCCATTGTCCTTGGCCCTTCATAGGATGGCTGGACTCAAAGAACATTTAGTGTAAATGTTGGGCCCATTAAGAGCCCATACTGATGGACTCAAGGGTTCACTGTACTTGACAGTGAATTCGGCTAGGTTTTTTCACAGAAGCTAGGCCGAACCCATATAGGCTAATGAGAGGTCATTGTTGGGGTCCCATGCCATACAAAATGAACCAAATGGGCCAGCAACTATCTAGGGTCGTAGCCACTTACTTAATGGGCCTAAAGCCCATGATTAATTAGATTAATCAAGTGGTCACATGACAGCTTAAGCAGTCATGTGATATGGGCGAACATGGGTATGGATATGGATTTGGATCAGCAATCATGGTTTCAAATGTCGCGAAACATCGATAATGTCGCCCGACATATGTCACACTAACATGAAAATGGATGGTAATACAAAAATTACATTATTTCGGTCCAAAAAACCAAAAAATAGACAGTTTTTCCTATTATGTCAACAGGATGTAGACTAATGTACATTAATAATATAATATACTAATATAATATATTATTATAATAAAGTATATTAATATAAATTATTCCATTAATAATTTCTATTTAATATTTCAAATAAAATATTTATAAAAAAGAATTAACAAAATATAAAAACAAAAGAATAAATTAATTATTTTATAATATAAAACATAAAATTATTTTTAAGTAATAAAATATTAACTAGTTAGT